GCTGGAGGGTCGAGGGCGTGTCTTGACATCCGAGTGGCAGGCACTCATGGATCAAAACAATCGTCTCATTCATGAACGTCGTCAGGCGGAGGAGGAACAGGCGAGGGTGGAAGATCATGTGCAGGAACTTCGCCGTGTTGTGCAGCGCAAGATTGAAGAGGACCGTAGAGTGGAGCAGAGCCTGAAGGAGTTGGATAGGCATCTTGACATGCAGGCAAGGGAGCTGGCAATGAAATATCGATCGGATCACGATATTATTGTGCGACAATTTACGGAGCTTCGTGGAACGATACGACGAACGATAAAACCGCCACGATCGCATTCAACAGCAGCAACGACGTTTGGTTCCGCGAGTCATCGAACTTTGTAATATTAATGAAGAAAGGGAAATAACGCATGATGATCAGCCACACATGTTGCTTCGGTCCTTGCCATACCACGCCACGACTATTGCTAGCTGCAAGGGCCTTCTATTTTTACCTATTAGTTTATTGGGGCTAGCACTTATCAAAGTGAAGAGGAAATATAAATATATGAAAGAAACAAACGAAAAACTGCGTGTGGAATCTGAGCTTCTCAGGGTATTCGGGTTTGTGCACGTGTTTGCTTCTGTGATTGTGCGACTTCTGGAGACGAGAATTTTAACATTATTTTGGAGCACCTTTTCTTTCCCGCTTTTACCACGTCGCGTGGCTCGGCTTCAGTGCTCCCCCAAGTTTTTGTGCGTTTGCAATTCCGTGTCGTAGAGGTTTTTTTTTTTCTTTTTTTCTCTTCTTCTACTTTCTTCTTTTTTTTTTTTTTTTTTTTTTTTTTTTTTTTTGAGGTTTGTGCGTTGTTCCTTTGTGGTGATGAGAACATGAAATGCAGGACTTTTTTGAGGGGCGTTGCGTTGATGTTTTTTTTTGTTTTGCTTTCTGCTCATGGAAGAATGCTCCGAGAGAAGATGGGGCACTTTGAGAGAGAGAGTTCGGTGCAGTGTGTGTGTATGCTTATATATGTATATTGGGAGGAGGTGGCCATGTGGGGTGTTGTGAAGTGTTTCTTTCACTGACTGATTGCTGTGCGTCCTGGTGTCTTTTTGCTTTTCGGTTTAGAGCCTTCAGCGAAGCCAAAGGAGCGTAACGCGATTGAAGGAAATTAGAAAAGGAGAGAGTTAAGGTGCGGACAAAAGTCGGCGAAGGGCGGGGTGCGGAGGGAAAAGGAACAGAGGAGAAAAAACTAGGGGGGGGCAAATTGAATTGACGTCAAGGCAGTCACGCAGAAGAAAAGAGTTGAAAAAGAGATGTCAAAAACAGAAGAAAGAGTTTCAATGACGTTTACGGAGAATTATTGCATGAGTTCGCCAAGAAACACCACGGATGTGACGCAGCGCCTGTTATGCGAGCCATGGGAATTTATTGAGACAACTCTCCCGCAGGGGGGAAATATTCCCATCAGCGAGTCTTTGTTCTCCGTAAGCAACGGACATGTGCGTGTGCGCGGGTATGCAGAGGGGGCGAACATGGCGGCCCCTTACGGCCGTCACGCAAACAACGAACATACCGTCGGTCGGCGCTCCTCGAACAGGGCGGAGCCCACAACACTCAGAGTGAAGGCGCAAACGCCGGAAGAAGAGTCTCGAGGGACATTTGTTAATGGGATATATGAGGAACGACTGTTATCGCGTAGTCATCGGGTTTTTACAGTTGGCACGTGTGCACGGGAATGTTTTCTTATTTGTGTTCCAGATGCCTTTTGCGTGGATGTTTTTGTCGGTAGTGAACATGTGAGCGTGTCGACAGGAACAATTCTGTCGCACAGGCGTGTTTTGGATCTTTGCACGGGTGAACTTCGTCGTCGCCTGGTCTGGCAGTCGAAAAATCATGGACGTGAAGTGACGATTGAGGCCTCACGTTTTGTTTCTCTCGCCCGTAAAAATATTGCCGCATTAAAGTTATCTGTGAGCGTTAAGAATGTTCTTAATACAGACATTCGCATTGTTTCCCGCACGATGGTGCCGGTGAATGCGCAACGGCACCTGAAGGTGGAGAACATCGTTTCCCGCCACACTTTGATTGATGCCTCCTCGGCTGTGTGCGTGCGAACGCGTAACAGCTGCAAGCGACTTGTGGTGGCGGCCACAGAGGCGTGCTGCACCGCAACAACGGATCACAATTCCCCGCCACTGGCGGCGTTCTCTAACATCGGGGGCGCGTCGCCGACGGGTGTCACACCGGCAGAAAGCTCTGTGACGAGCGGTGGCCGGTGCGGTACATCGCCCCCAAGTGCGCAGCAGCAGCATAATCAACAACAACAACAACAACAGCCTCAGCAGCAGCAGCAGCAGCAGCAGAAACAGGCTGTCACATTTCTTGCCTCTAAATCTGCAGAGACCATGGAAAGTGCAGAAACGATTTACACGAGTGTCATAAGTGAGTCGACGAGACTGGAACTTACCAAATACATCGCCTTCCTTGGCGACGAAGATGCAACACCAGAGGATATGTGCGATTTGGCCATACATAATTCACGAGAGGCGGCGGGGGTGACGTATGATGCCATGGTGAGTGAAAATCGAAATATTGTGGCAAAATTTTGGGAGGTGGCTGATCTTCGTGTGAAGACTAATAATTCTTTTGTACAAGGCGCGCTTCGTTTTAATCTTTTACATTTGTACATGTCATTATGTCGGGCGTATGTTAAGGAATCCCCACCACGTGGATTCATGAGTGAAACTAGTAATGGTTTACATCATTGGGATGTGGATGCCATTGCCATTCCTTTTTTTTCGCACATAGATCCAAAAACTGCACGGGCTTTTTTGCAGTTTCGTATCGATACCTTACCTCAAGCAAGAAATATTGCGGCAGATATGGATCTTCCACGAGGCGCTTTGTACCCACTACGCACCGTGTGTGGCGGGGAGAATCGTCCTTTACCTTTTTGTGCGGCTTTCTTGTACGGTAATGCGGTCGTTGCATACGCCATGCGTCGATATATCATGGCGACTAAAGACACGGCGTTGCTGCTTTGTGGTGGCGCGGATGTTCTTTTTTCCACGGTGCTTATTTGGCTTATATGGGGAACATGGGACAAGGGGCAGTTTCACATTCGATCTGTGGGAGGTTTCGATGAGTACAGTGGCTTGAGTGATAACAATCTTTTTACCAACCTTATGGCCCAAAACCACATGCAATGGGCGGTACAAGTGGCGTCGCACTTTCAGAAGAAGCACCCACAGGAGTGGGAAACGTTGAAGGAAAGATGTCAATTTACCGATGAAGATCTTCTCATGATTGAACGGGCTGCTTCGAAAATGGTGATTCTTTTTGATGCCAAAAATCGTGTACACCCCGTTGATCAGTTTTTTATGCGGAAAAAGAAATGGGAATTTGGCGATTTAAAGGCCACGAGGGGGTTTCTGATTCATACGTTTGATCCCTCAGTTATTTACCGTCACCAGGTGTGTCGAGCACCAGATGTTGTCCTCGCTTCCATGTTGTTGCCTGAGAAATTTACGACGGATGAGGTGCGGGCGAATTATAATTTCTACGAGCCCATCACCACCAACGATTCCCCTCTTAGCTCCGTGATGTTTACTGTGATGGCCTCGCAATTGGGCATGATTGATAGGGCAATGTATCATTTTAACCGTACCATTTTTGTCGATATTGAAAATGTGATTGATAGCACGGGCCGTGGTTTGCACAGCGTGGCGGCGGCAGCTGGATCGTGGTGGTGCCTCGCGGCTGGTTTTGGAGGCATGCGCGTCATCCAGGGCGTATTGCACTTTAATCCAGTCTTACCAGACGAGTGGGAGGAGTACGAATTTGCTGTGAGACACCGTGGCTGCCTTGTTTGTATTATTGTGACACGGCGAACGGTAACATACGAAGTTGTCGAATGCACCAGCGACGCGAATGAACTTCTTATTATTCATTCGGATACGCATCGGATTCATCTTCGATTGGGCGTACCTGAGTCTGTTCGTCTCTACCGCGATATTCACGTATTTGACTTTGACTGCGTTATCTTTGACATGGACAGTGTTATTGAGGACGTGGAGGATTATCACTACGAGGCCTGGAAAAAGACACTAGAACCTTTTTTGCGGGAAAATGGTATGCATTCCTTTAAATTCACTGGGGAATTGTATCTTGCTTACCTGAAACATGACCGACCCGTTCCCGCCCTTCAGCGTTTCCTCATTAAACAAGGGGTAAAAGAATTGAGTTTGGGCACTTCAGAGGATAACATGGAGTGTGACACTCTTTACGGCCTATTCCGACGGAAGCAGTATTATTTTCGTAAATGCGTAACGTATCGAGGTTTACGTCCACGTGAAGGCATATTAGAAATTCTCTCAGAGCTTCGACAAAGTGGTATTTCTGTCGGATGTGTCACGGTGAGTAAAAATGGGCATTGGATGTTAAATGAGGCTTCGCAGTTGCTCATGTTGTTAGATGGGTGCCTTGATGGCGGTGATGGTGAGTCGATGTCGCTGCGGTGGCGCCCTGAAATGGACTACTTCTCCGCCATGTGTAGGCAACTTAACGCCTCGACCTCTCGCACGATCATCGTGATGGACGGTATCGATGGCTTCTCAAAGAGTGCCCTGGAGCAGTTCAAGATGATTGTGGACATTCAGAAGGTTCCTGAGGATGTGACACTGGCGATCCCGCGAGTGAACATTTCAAGCCTGTCTGACCTGACACTGGCGCTCTTGGATAGGGAGACAGCACGTGATCACTCTTTTTCTCACCGAAGTACTTTAAACCAGGGCGGCAACGCACTTGTTTCCGGTGACATTTAGGCTGTTTTTTTTTATTTTTATTTTTTTGAAATGATGCCCTCCAGTAACTGAACTATGCGAGGACAATGATGGTGAAAAACGGAAGTGATGGAAACGGGAAAAATAGGACGATGATCGTGAATAAAGATAGAATTCCTTTTCTTGTTTATTTATTTATTTTATTTTATTTTTATTTTTTTAAATTTTTTATCCATTTTTTTTACATTTCCAACAGACACGCGCAAACAGCTGCGCAGAGTAGCGATGATGCAAAAAATTTAGTACGATTATGTTTTTTTTGTTTTCTTTTTTGCAAATTTGTTTTTTTTTTGTTTTGTATTTGTTTTGTGTTTCCGAAGAGAAGTGCGAGTGAATAAATATGTAATAACGGAACTTTTTTCTTTTTTTTTTTTTCTTCTTATTGGTTTTTGTGTGTGTATGTGTTTTGGATACGGAGTTGCAGGAGAGAAGGAAGTGCGAATCCCACGAGTTTCGGTGGTGTGAGTCGCCCGTTGATGACGCAGCGGAGGGAAGAGAGGGGACGGTACCGTGGCAGGACACGCGGTAGTGCGAAGGGCGCTGGCAGGTATCGTTGGAAATTGGCGCTTTTGGCTGCCGTGTGTCTCTGTCTTGTGGTGTATCTTCTGCAGGGTGAAGATGACACCATTGCGTCTGTCATGTTGGCGAATGACACGCAGGACCTTCTCTCTGCGCTGAGGTTGGCGAGGGAGAAGACAAGCGTCAGCAGCATCCACACCGTCACGGATTGTATGATGCGGGTTGGTTTGACGCTGGATGGCATGTTGGCCAGTACAGACGATAAATCAACAGCAACAGCCACTCAAAAAATTATGACGCATACCGTGGAAACTTATCGACTGGCAACAGCGTTTGTTTTGGAAGTACTTTCCCCCTTGTTCCAGGAGAAGCCAAGGGATGTCGTGCTACAGAACCATCGTACCGAGCCAAAGTTTCTGTGGCGCTGGATAGCTGTTACTGCCTACGCCTTGACGACCGTTTTGCCTGAGCACTTTCTTGCTCTGGACGACACAGAGACCCACGGTGAGGTTCTGGTGATGGGACTGCACGTGTTATTGCATGCATCAAATGCGGCTTCCTCGTCGTCTTTTTCTCCTTTATTGCCAACTGAACGAGCGGCCCTTGTTGATTGCATCCATTACGAGAAGAATCCCCGCTGGGAAAAGTTTTGCAGCAGTGGGTTTTCAAACCTCCATGGCCTGGAAGTTCGCCGCGCTGCCATTCTTGAGGAACTTATTGCACTTTACCCGGAATATGCCCCATTGCGACTTCATTATGTTGTCGCACTCTCCCTGGGACGTCATGCTGCAAAGACGGAAGTCGTTTTGGGGCTAATTGAGAGGGAGCGGGCGAGACTTCACACCCGAACACATGTCGATCCTTTACATGGGGCATTCCTGGGACTCTGCAAGGCTTTTGTTTCTTCTGTAGAAAAAACAAGGCGTGTGGAGGCAACTGAGGGAGTTGTGGAGGGACTGCGTCAAATCAACACATGTGCGCAGCTTCTGCGTCCTTTTCATGAGGATATGGGCAACTGGCGGCATTACTTCCGCGGGCAGGAGCGGCCCGATGTGATGGACAAACGACAGGCAAGGCGTCTATTGGGCGCCATGACAGAACTATTGCAGGAAAAAGGAATTCCAGAGTCTCTCCCCCCTGGGCTAAGAGCGTGTGGCGAAGGGGATTGAAGTTATTCGCAATTCCGAGAAGACACATACAACCGCATCCAGGCAGAAGAAAAAAAAAAAAAAAAAAAAACCGACGAAAAGGGGAGTTAACGAGAATCTCGCCTCTTATCTTTACCTCTCCCTCTCTCTCTCTGTGTGTGTATGTATGTGTGTTTGTGTATTTTGCTGTGCGGAAGATGATGATGCGGGAACTCAAAAATTCTCTTCATTACTTTTTTTTTTTTTTTCCGGTGCTTATCGAGTCGAAGATCTCTCTGTGATTGTGTAAACTTACATTCCCTCATTTCCCTATTTTTTTTACCGCTGCTGCGGAAGTGCCATGATGCGTTTTGTCCACCACTTTATTATTATTATTATTAATTTTTTTTTTTTTTTTGCGAGGGTCTGTTTTTTTGTTGGTTTCTTTTTCTTTTTCTTTTTCTTTTTCTTTTTACTTTGTACGGTTAGTTTACACTCACAAATGCGGTGGATTTTTTTGTTACTTGCCGTACTGAGTGTGTTGAAGCCGACAGATGCAACTCCCGATCCTCTGGAGCATGCCATGGGACTGAACTACAAGGTTGCCTTTTCTCAGAAGCCCCCACCGCGGGGGCTTAGCAAGGAACAATATTACTCAATGCGTCTTAGAAATGGATCTTTTTTTGTGTGTGTCTTGCCGGAGGTGCTATTAGAGCAGCGGAGCTCCGCGGCACTTTTTGAAGCAAACAGTGAAGTTCCAGTGAAATTTATTGAGCGCATTCATGAACGGTTTAAAAAAGTATGTATTAATTTACTTGAGGGGTGGTGGACGTATCGGCTCTGTTGGAATGATGCGATAGTGCAAGTGCACTTGCCGACAGTGATTTTAAGCGATGGGGTATTGTTGACAACAGAGCCGCAGGGGCCACAGACACAATTCCTTCTTGGAACATCTCCATCGAAGGATGATTTAAACTTTCGTTACGGTGTGGATGCCCTTGGAAATCGTTACATCTTCACAAAATATCCAAACGGCGAAGTCTGCGACCTCACAAATGCACCAAGAGAAACGGAAGTTCGCCTGTATTGTGCACGTGATAATGAGGAGGAAAAGATGACATTACGCGAGGTGGAGGTTTGTCGTTATGTGGTGAGTTTGACCTCGAGACATGCCTGCATTCAGGAACTGCAGCAAGAAGTAACGCAGAGAACAATTACATGCCACGAACTTGTCTAACTTGATTCTGTAAACAACTGAAAAAAGAAAAAAAAAAAAAAGAAGAAATTCACGAAGTTCGGAATTGACGGGTGGAGGAATCACCCATAAATTGTGAGTGATTCGTGCTTCATGTTGTTTTTAACTCCGTTGTATCTATGACAATATGGATATCTGTATTACTTTTATTCTGCAACTTGGACGTTTTTTTTTTTTTTTTTTCATCTCCTTTCTCTCTCCTTTTTCTTTTTTTTTTTTTGTTTCTTTTTTGTCTTTGCGTCCTTTTTTTTTTTCTATTTTCCCTACTCTTCTTCTTTATTTCTATATCTCAGAATGTATTATTATTTTTCCAGCGGTTTTTTTTTTGTTCCTCTCTCTCTCTCTCTCTCTGTGTGTGTGTGGGGGCTTTTTTTTTTCTTCCCCTTTTTTCTTTTACGCAGCATTCTCTCATACTGTCCTTTTTTTTTTTTTTTTCTTTTTCCTTTTTTGCTTGATTTTTATTTATTTATTTTATTTATTCTTTGTCTTTTATTTTTCATTCCTCCCCTCCACCCTCCCTCCAACGCATACACAAAATATGTTTGTGTATACAGTCAAAGAGGAGGTGCGTGAACGGGTGTGGAACGGCATGGCATGCCGTCTTTGAGGCCCAACCGTTGTTTTCTGCATGCCCCAGTGAACGCGGTGACAGTTGGCACCCGGTGGATTTGTTTGGCTGTTGGAAACCGTGTGCTAGTGGGAAGTGTGGATGTTGAGAGCAATTCCGACTTTAAATTAGTGGCGGAGCTTCCCCATGGCGCGATGATAACAGCACTTGAGCAACATGTGGTGGATGATGCGAACTGCAAGGCGGGTGTCATTCTTGTGATTGGCAGCGGTGATTCCGTTTTCGTCCTCAACCCTCTCCTGCTGGAATGGCTGGATGGTGGTGATCATCATCTCACACAACTCGTGCTGGAGGACATGGCAAGAGTGTTGCGCATTCGAAGTCTTGGACCGGGCGCTGGTGTACTGGTGATCACGGCCATAAGCTCCGCGTACATACTTTGCGAGGAAAGCCTGAGTTGGGCGCGTGCTTCAGGAGAGGCACCGTTGTTGGTGCGGTATGCGGCGACTGGTTTGGGTGTGGCGCTTGCCGCAGATGCTGTACTGGAGGGGGACGGTGACGGCATGACGGTCTTTACCGGCACGTACGCGGGGTCAATTGCCGTTTGGCGGCTGCCTGTTGCGGCTGTCCAGAAGCAGAACAATGAAGAGGAAACGGAAGCAACGCGTGGGGCTCTCATCCCCTTCTCGTGGATCAACGCCCACCGCCAGGGATGCGCCGTCTTTGCTGTAAAGGCAATCACCCTGAGAGACCGCATGGAGGCGGATCAAATGCGCTTTTGCGTAGCCACGTGTAGTGACGATCGTACGGCGACTCTTTACATTTCCGACGATATAAATTGTCTTGCCAACATGATGGAGGAGCTGAAGTGGACGTGTTGTTGGCGGGGCGCTGGTGCGTCTTTTTCACGGAGACGTGTGTTTGATGTGTCGATGTACTTCACCGCAGAAAATAATGGGACGCTGTTTTTTGCCACCGGCAGTGAGGACGGTAGCGTGCACGCCTTCGTTTTTAATTTCCAGGAGCTTCTTAACGCAGCGTCAACAAAGAATCTGAAAGAAATCACCAAAAAGAATGCATTCTTGGCGACAACCGTGGGGCGGCGGCTTTTACATCGTGGGCACCAGCACGATGGTCGTGGAGTGTACAAAGTTGCTCTTCTGAGAAATCCAACTTTTAACACCATCGCTGTGGTTTCATGTGGCTTCGATGGTGCCGTTTACTACACGCCCTTGTCAGCGCATGCCTCGCGAAGGGGGAAATTGTGTCGCAAAAAGAGAAGCCTAAAAGACACGTACGCGGTGTGGTGTGTGATGACGTAGGCAGTTTGTTGGCGTGCACAGAGGATGAACTCATTATTTTTCCACTGGACCCGAAAGGAAAAGAGCGTCGTTTGTCAATTCCCATTACAGATGCAAAGAAGGACATACCGTCATGCATCAAAGTTGCAGCAGGATCAATTTGGAGGGGACGTCAACAGTACTTTCTTGCCCTTATCGGCACCACAGGAGGAAATTTATACGGCACGTGGTACAATTTGACTGGAACTCAACCGCAGTTCCAGGAGGAAGTGGAGGAGAAGGAATTGGTTAACATTGTCGTGCTGCTGCATGCATCGTCATCACGTGCGTCCAAGGTGCTGCTTGTACAAGGAATGCACTGGCAAGAACGGGTGCTGATTGCCAGCATTCACGCTGATGGGAATCTCATTCTGTTGGAGGCGCATACGCTTGATGAGAGAGCCTCTGAAGTGGGGGTGACTCGTCGTTGTGCCGGAGCGCACACCACTGCGCTAAGCATCTCTATTTTTGCCTCACCGATGAAAGACGATGAGAAAGAACAACGAACACCATCACCTGAAAAGCAAAAACGACGACGACAACAACAACAACAGCAAGGGCATCAGAAGACGCAGCCTCGGTATCTTGGCATATTCGTTGGTGACGACGAAGGTGGCCTCTCCATTGATCTTGTCCGCATAAATGATTATGCATACACGGCAACGACATTGCTTTTTCGGGAGCCTCTGTTTAGGGAGCCTATTGCTTCTGTGATTAGGGAAACAAGTCATATAAACAGCCCTTGTGAACGCATCACGGTGTTATCTACGCAAGGAGAATGGCGTGTTGTCTTGGTAAATGTTGAGAGTCAATGCGTCGATATTGTTCCAGTATCGTCTCCGCTTCGGCTTCCGTGGCGTATTTCTTCCGTTCTTGCCTGTAGCGACACCGTTGCTGTGACAATGTTTGGGACGGACATCTCTGTCTACAGACGACAATTATCGCGTTTTAGTTGGCATCTTGTCGAGGAGTACCACGGCGTAAGGGCCCCGCGGTTGCTCTCCGCAACCATTCCCGCTGATATTTCTGGTGTTGGTGGTCTCCCTGTATTTGTGTGTCATTGCTCGGATGGTGTGCAGGCTGAATGGTTTGCCTGTGACTCGTTGAGTGAAACACGCATCCTTTCTGGGGGTGCCATCATTGGTCGAGAGTACAACACCGCCCTTTTTCTCCCTAGCCCCGCATTTGCTGTCATATGCGGGAGTGAGAACTCGATGCTCACCGTGTTGTTGACCCCACACTCTCCCCGGATGGGAATGGATGCCCCATTGACGATTACTGGCCCCCACGATTCAAACATTTTGGCAATGGCGATGTGTGTAACGAATGGCGACGGCAGTATGATGCGTTTCGTTACCGTTGGGGGTTTGGCGACTCTGGTGTTATGGGAGTGGTCCACCTATCACAACTGGCGCGTTGTTGCCCACGTGAGCCAACAGCATGAGTCTACCAGTGCTTTTCCGGCTGCTAATGATAGAAAGAAAGAAGGCCGTGGGGTTCCGCGGTTTTTGTCCGTTTGCACGACGTTTGAGGAAATTGTGGTGGGAGGCAGCGATGGGATATTGAGAGTGTTTTCCTCCAATGATTCTCTGAGGCTTCTTTGCGAGGCGCGTTTCCCTACTTCCACACCGAAACCAATGATGGCGGTGGATACCTTGAATGCCAGGAACCGACTTGTGGTAGTGGGTGACACGAGCGGAACTGTGGGTGTCTGCAATGTAGCGAATGGGAGTTTCACAACACACTTCACGTGGGCCAAATCTGCCGTCAATGCCATCGCCGTGGGGCGACGAATTGGGTTTCAGTCACAGAAACAAGAGGAGCAACAGCAGCGGTATGGACAGAAGAGGGAAGAGGGAGAAAAAGGAAAAGGAGTGGAGGATACGTTTGCTGTTTGGCGTGTGCTGGCTGCCATGGACTCTGGTGATGTGGTGCTGCTGCACGTTGGGGTGTTGGCCATTGGTGTTATCTGCGTCGTGCGTGTCGGTCTCACCTCAGCCTGTGGAGTCAGTTGGATCACGGGGTCACCGAATGATGACACCGACGATGACGCCGCTGTCGCTGTCAACGGCGAGTGCCTAACGTACCTCCAGACGTGTGGCGTGCAGAGTGCTGCGGGAGGAACGGAGATGCTCCGCGTGGCGTGGCATACGCGCGTGAATGTTCGCGGCGTCAGTGGCCTCGCCGTTGTGTCCCCGACAAGGAGGTCAGCGTGTGCGGTGGTGGTGGGAGAAGGCGTAGAGGCAATTCCGCTCTACGCTGACCGCGACAATACATGAAAAGGAAACGGTAATAATTCCAAAATAAATGCGGTTGGAGAGATCAAGAACAGTAATTGTTCACCCCTTTTTTTTTTTTTCTCACATTTCATGGCACGTATTCAAATACACACGTCTTGTGAGAAGCACAAACTAACTAACAAAAAAAGCGGGAATGAAATGATTTGGTTTGGATCAGTATATTCTTTTGTTTGAATTATGGATGGATTTGTTTTTGTGTTGATTTTACTTAAATGGCGTATTGTCTTGTTGTTGTTGTTGTTGCTATTTGTACTTTCTTCCATTATATATATATATAACAGCTAGATGACGGCGCACACGGTGCTGCGTGCGCTTGTTCGGCGTGCGGCGGCGTATGAACGACCGTTCAATAGTCAAGACTCTCTCTTGATTGTTAGGGCGTTACAGGCTCTGCGTTACCGGAGCGACGACGTAAGAGGCGTGTGTGAAAAGTGTGCCTTTGCAATTGCCTCTTCTCGTATTACGGTGCCGGTGGAACGTGCTATAGAGGCGCTCAGTGGTCTATTGTCGCTTCAGGCAGGCGCTCTTCCTGTTGTACATGAAAAGCTTGCAGAACGACTCACCGAGGTGACCCCACAAACGGCCTCTCCACGTTATGTACAGAAGGCGGCCGTTGTTATTATGAAGCTTGGTAGACGGTACTGCAAGCCCGCGATAGCAGATCATGTGTTTGACGTCCTTACGCAATTGTTGCCGTCACACCCGAACGATGTTGCACTGCGATTAGCCGTGATTAGTGTTTTCATGTACACCAGCAGCGCGGTGAAATATGAGGCGATGTGTTGCAAGGGAACCGCAAGGAATGAGGATTTGAAGGAGGAGAAGGATCGACGTGTTCTTACTCTTTTGGAAGCAGCCACGCACATTGTGGACGCCCATGTGTTAAGTGCGTTGCGTGGAAACAGTACATTGCAGGCATTTCACATTTTTCCCGTCCTTTCATGGCGGTCCTTAATACATGACACCTCAAAAAGAAACGGACAGGCATGTATCGATGGGATGAATAGTCCTGCTGATCATGATTACGACCGCATGTTGACGAAATGGGAGCGTGTAGAGAATGCATTTTTTGAGGAGTTGCAATTCTCTACGGTTGTTCCGGGTGGTTATGCACAGTTTATGTTTGATTTTCTTCCGACCCTTGGCAGGAATGACACCTCCGGCGTTGTGTTCAATTTGGCGCTTTTGGATGTCGTTTGCCATGAAAACTTCCGCAAGGCTTTGAACTCTTACGATGTGGCGAAGATTGCCATGTCAGTGAGTCGCGCCCTTTTAAATCGGCGTTTTTCCGCGGGACCGAGGACGGGAAGGACTTTAACGGGGGTGGAAAGGGCGAAGGACGAAGAAGAAGGAGGTAATGAAAACGATCGAGAGAAGTTGGAGGAACGTACGCTGCTGCGGGTCGTTGGGAGTCTCGTGCAGCAGTTGTGTTTTTTTGATGCCGTCGCAGGCTGGTCACGTCCTGATGGTGGACGAGTGGACCAAGTGGCCGTTGGCGCTGTATGGCGTGTCACACAGAAGTTCGTCTGTAATTTGCAGCCAGGGGCAGGGGAGGTTCAGCAGACGGTGGCGCAGCTTGTGAGGCTCACTAAAGGCATTGCCTCAAAGCTACCAGATGTGTGGTCGTGGGTGTTGTACTCCATGAGTCTGTGCGCCCGCACAACGGTTTACAATGACGGCTTAAGAGATGGGATGGAAATACTCGTGCAGGAGTCGTCTCTCGCACGCCGTCCAGAGGAGTTACCGCTACGATCCTGTGTACAGGCTCTATACGCAGTTTCCATCCTAATGGTACCAAGTACCGAGGAAAAGGAGTTGATGCTGCGAGCCACCCAGGCATCTATGCGTGTTCAAGAACGGGTTCAGTTACGTAGGGCACAATGGACTCCTGAACACCCTCTTGTTGTGTCTATGCTGCAGCGTTTGCTGAATTTCCGCTTTAGAGAATATTCTGGAGATGACATCCCCATGCTTTTACAGTCACTTTCTAATCTTCTGGAAGTGACAACGGCACAGCGCGCACAACCGCTTCCTGCTATCCAACAGATGATGGAGAGAGTGTTTTATTATATGCAGGGAAACCGCAACTTGGACTGGTACCGCATGCATGGTGTGAGTACCACCTACACCTTGTTATCTATGGCGGAATTTTTTCCGGTAGACTGCAAGCAACTTCGTGATGCGGTGAAGCAATTTCTCTTTTACTTGCAATCGGAGGAAATGATAGAATTGAGCGTGCTGCGCCGTTGGTTGGAGCCGTTGACGCTACAAAAAAGACGAGGGGTCAATACCACATGGCTCTGTGAAGAAATTTTGAAATTGTTGGCAATGCAGGTGCATTGTGCGTGTACCGGAAGGAAGGAACCCTTTCATTTCTTACTGAACGCTCTGGAATGTGCCCATGAGATTGGCGCTTCTATTGCATTTGTTAATTCATCAGAAGAAGTCTCTAATACTCGGCGTGTGACGATCCATTTGGATTTGGAGCCCTTTCTTCATGATGGGATGTTGAAAGCTGTGGATGCGGCACAGGTATTGCGCATTATGAGTTATGAGGTGCAAAGCGCCGGCTTGGTGCGGGTCCATGGTGATCACATTGTTCAGCTGCGACGTATTGCCATCGGCGACGAACCGGCTGCCGGCAAGCGCGTGGAAACGTTACTACACTTGCTGCGAGCGAATGCCACTTTGCAGGCGTCAAAAGCCCTTTTTGATACAAGAACCTTGGAACAAATCATGGTTTCTTTATGTCATCAGTTGACGGAAAATCGGAAGGCCCTGATACAGCGGGGCGATGCCGGCAAAATTGTTTACGCTCTTTTATCCTCACAGGTTTTACTACGATTGGGGTGTTCATTGCGGAGTTACAAAGGCCTTGCAGAGGCCGTTGGTGAAGTACTGGATAGTTTGGAAGCTACAGGAGAGGAGAGGCCAGAAACATTGTTCCAGCTGCGGCTTTTGTGTGGTCTATAAGAGAGACATGGAAGGGAAGAAATTGGATGAGGATGAAGGGTGAATTATAATGTGGAGAATTACAGGGGCGTTTTAACTTTATTGTTGGTAGTGGTGTTGCTTATTTCTTGAGTGCCCGATGATGCGGGTCATTGTGGATGTGTGCCCACCTATTCACTCTTCTTTCAAATAATAATCTTTTTTGTTGCGGCTGCTTTTCGTTCAGGCCCTGTTGACTGGCGCATGAAAGTTCTTTTATTTGTTCTTCTTTCTTTTTTGATCTTTCTCTGTGCTGTATTGGTGGCTCGGTTGGATTTCGCATAGGGCCAGACGTCCACACACGTATATTCACGCAGGTCACGGTGGGGGGAGGAGTAGGGCTGCCACGAATGGGACACAGACGCAAGCGGCAACGTGAAGAAGAGGAGAGTGTCGTGGTGACGGCTACTCATGCACCAAACGAACCCGCCGCCGTGGTGCCGGCCCCTGCGCAGCAGCAGCAGCAGGAGTCGTTGTTGACTTTTTCGAAGTCATGCCGTCGTCGTACTGCACCGGTGACGTCATCCTTTTTGTTTGCACCTACAATGTTTCTTCCGCAATGGCAACGTGTGGCACTTTCAACCTTGCGCCAACTGCATGAGAGTCAAGCGGAGGAGCACCGTGCTGCCACTCGCGGACGAACCCTGCAGAAGGATCTCACACGGTATCATGAGGACCTTCATCGGCGCGAGGAACGTCTTCGTGCTCAGCAGCGCGAAGCGAGAGCACGACTTGGCAACAAATTATTTATGGCCATTGAGAAGCAGTGGTCGCGACGTGGCGATGTGTTCCAGCAGCTTCTATGTGTAGAATTTGATGATGTAAAGCAGCGGCACACAGAGCGTAGACAAGAAGACCTCCTTCGTGAGGCAGAGAACCTCACACGTAGTCTACTTGATGGTATCTTTTCTGGAACGAAAAATCACGGTTCCCACAGCGACGGTGATGATAGCAGGGGCATTGATGCTGATGAAGCGGTGGCGGATGCGCTGCGGAATGCTGAAATGACTGGTGGCGCGAGTGGGCCGGTGCTGGAGAGCTCCCTCTCCTTACTGGACACGCAGAATGGGCGACGGCCACTGCGCGACTACCAACGCTCTGCCCTGCGCTGGATGACAAACCTCTACACCAAAAAATTGAATGGCATCTTGGCTGATGAGATGGGGCTTGGAAAAACGATTCAAACCATTGCCCTGCTTGCCTATTTTGCTGAGTATAAAAACGATTGGGGGCCACATCTTATTGTTGTCCCCACGACTGTCGTACTCAACTGGAAGGCGGAGTTTCAGCGTTGGTGTCCGGGAATGAAGGTTCTTGTCTACATTGGAACTCCAAAGGAGCGGCATCGACTGCGCAAGGGGTGGATGGGGGAGGATGCTTTACATGTTTGCATCACATCGTATAATCTTCTGGTGAAGGATCGGTGTGTGTTTCGTCGACGGCCATGGGGATTTCTTGTACTGGATGAGGCACATCAAGTTAAGAATTTTATGAGTAAAAAATGGCAATCTCTCTTTGATCTTCAAGCGGAATATCGGCTTTTATTAACAGGGACACCGCTGCAGAACTCTATCATGGAATTGTGGTCACTTTTTCATTTTTTATTGCCATTTGCATCGGCTTTTAGCTCCAATGAGGAGTTTCGGGAATGGTTTAGTAATCCAATGGAGGACATGGTGACAGGGCGCACATTTTTCAATGAGGAGATCGTACGCCGTTTACAGTCGTTGCTGCGACCATTTATGCTACGTCGATTAAAGAAGGATGTGGAGGCACAACTTCCATCCAAGACGGAGAAGGTTGTCATGTGCCGTCTTTCACGGCGTCAGCGACTTTTGTATGATGATTACATGCAACTTACGGAAACACGTGAACGTATTCGAGGCGGGGCTGGCGGAGTGCTGGGAGTGTTGCTGGCGCTCCGCAAGGTGTGTAACCACCCTGACATGTTTGAGGAGCGTCGGACTCTTTCTCCTGTGGCACTGGATTGCCTCAGTGAGATTACTTTATTGGTACCACGCGATATCCTATTGCAAGGCAATGACTTTCGTGGTTGCTACCGATTCCAGAAGTGGCGTCTCTGTATCGAGGATGTATCCATGTCGGTGAACTATGACAAAGAGATGGTGTTTGACGACACGTGGTTAGATTGTCCGGGGCTGCGACTGCTGTGGAATGATCAAGCATTTGAATGCCCCTTGTCGCGGTACTCTCCAGAGAATTTTCGTTGGCCAGAAGATGTGCCGGCTGAGCAGGTTTTTGGTGCCGATATCAAAGAATCCATGAGTGACACCATGTGGTCCATGCTGTGCCAACAGGTTGGAGAGCGACAAGCATGGGTCCGTCAACGTTATCAGACGACAGCCACTCTTCAAGCACAGCGATGCCGAGGCATAGAAACCTCTATGCATGTGTGGTACCCTCGTTCTCTTGAGATTGTATCACACGGAAGGCCCGGTTTTCTTCCATCACGGTTGCACCCGAATGTTTCTCAGCGTGTTTGCGCCATTTTGCCTATTGCAGAAAAGACCGCGGTTTATGTCCCGCGTGTTGCTGCCGTGCATCCACCCCGTTTGCATTGCCGTCTTCCTGTGGTACATTACCGGGCATTTTGCTCGCATACTCGAGAAAGTCTGGCGCCGCTTCTTGCACTGGGTGTATCGCCAAGCAACGGTCACGCAAGACGTGGTGTCTTTGATGCCTCTTCATTTCTTTCTGAATTGTGGTCACTCCATGTGCGTCGTTGCTTTAGTTTTCCAGACAAACGTCTGCTGATCCATGATTGCGGTAAGCTGCAATTCCTGCAGCATGCACTTAAACAATTGCGTCGCGAGGGTCACCGAATGCTTATATTCACACAGTTTGTACACATGTTGAATATTTTGGAGCGTTTTTTAGCCATTATTGGCATTCCGTACCTCCGAATTGACGGCAGCACTCAAGCAGAGAGACGACAGGCTTTTGTGGATCGCTTCAATGAAGATGATCGCATCACATGCATGATTCTCTCCACACGCTCCGGTGGGATAGGTCTGAATCTCACAGGTGCCGATACTGTTATATTTTACGACAGCGATTGGAACCCAACGATGGATCTTCAGGCGCAGGATCGGTGTCATCGCATCGGCCAAACGAAGCCGGTGACGATCTACCGCCTCATCAGCGAACACACGGTGGAGGAAAATATCTTGCAGAAGGCACGGGAGCGGAAAAAGCTTAACAATGTGGTTATTCGCGGTGGACAGTTTCATGCCATGGCAAGTGTGGATGAAATGTATGAGGATAGTGCAGCGGCACTGGCGGCACTTTCCGACCCGGTTCGCCTTCGAAGCTTTTTCCATGACTTGGATGAGGATGCCACCATCGTGGCGGACGAACAGCAGCGGGGTGAGGCGCATGCGAGCAAGACGGACATGGGTGAGCCGGTGGATATTCGGGAAGAGATGATGAGGCTTGAGGACCAGGAGGATCGTGAGGCACAACAGAACGTAGAGGAGGAATTACGGGAGCTGGAAGAACAGAGAAGGAACGATGAGGCTGAGTTGGGCGATGAAGAGGAAGAAGACGATGAATATGAAGATGACGATGTGGAAGAGGAAGGAGGAGGAAGAAGTAGAAGAAGAAAAAGAAAAAGAGAATTGACGGGGGCGGAATTAGAAGAGGGGTTGATGGATGTTTCTGCGGATGACAACGCCTTGGATGCCACAAATGCCGACATGTCACGTGGGGTGTTACCGATGGTGATTCAAAGGCGGCGTGACATTTTGCGGCGTCAGCGGACCCCATTGGACCGACTTCTCTCCGTGCGGTTCGGTACTTGCCATGCGGCGGATGCCAGAAAGCGCTATGATGCCTTGTGTGAGAACTACGCGACCCGCGTGGGGGAGAGTGAACTACCGGCATTCAAAACAAAATTTCGTCTGTAATGGAGTTTCCAGTTAAATGCTTGGCTATTTTGTTGCTTCTTTTTTTCTAATCTTTTTTTTTTTTTGTTTTTTGTGTGTGTGCCTGTAAGTTGGTTACTATTCCCGCCCGTCTCTTTTTTTTTTTTTGTTTTTTCCTTTTCTTTTTCGACACACCCGCAGAGTTGTACCTCCTTTTTTTTTTTTTTTTTCTGCCCTTTGTCCTATTGTTACTTCATTCCTTATTTCTCTCTCTCTGTTTGTGCGTGTGTGCTGATCCCTCTCCTTTTCTTTTTGTCGTTGATACTTTAAACCGTTGTTTTTTTTTTTTTTCTTTTTTTTGTGGTAAAGTTGTGTGGATGACTGTTTATTTTCCCACTTGTGTGGCTCAGGCTTCTTACGGACAACTGAACCCAGCCTTTTTCTTTCCTTTTTTTTTTTTTTTTTTGTGTGTGTGTTTGTGTGTGTGCAGAGTGAACGAGGAAGCATGAAAGGAAAGAAGGAAACCGCAGACATGTGGATTGAGCAAGTGAATCCCGCAATAGGGAAGAAGTTGGAGCCGGTTGAGCGTAACACTGTGGGCGATGTCAAATTGGCCGTACGCCACGCACGAGATGCACAGAAGGTGTGGGTGGCCCTCTCTTTTGCAGAGCGGGCAAAACGCGTGGAAAAAGTGAAGCGTTTTTTGGCCGATAACGCGGAACGTGGCGCAAGCATCATCTCACAATGCAACGGTAAGACTCGTTGTGATGCGTTGGCGACGGAGATCCTACCAAGTGTGATGGCCTGTGAGTGGTATGCGGCGAACACCGCCCGTGTTCTTGCGCCACAGAAACTGTCTCGTGGAAATATGCTTTTTTTCAACAAGTCGAATACCCTCCAATATATTCCTCTTGGCGTTGTTGGCATTATTTCGCCGTGGAACTTTCCATTTACCATTCCATTCAGCGAGGTGATTATGGCGCTGATGGCAGGCAATGGGGTTGTGTTGAAGGTGGCGACAGCGACAACGCATGTTGGACGATTTATAGAAGAGTGCATAAGCGCTGGAGACTTTCCTCCTGGGCTTTTTGTCCACGTCGTTATGCAGGGTTCTGATGTTGGTCCAGCAATGTTGAAGGCAGGTGTAGATAAGCTCTTTTTTACCGGGAGTGTGCATATTGGAAAGCAGTTGATGGCAGCTGCAGCTGAGACCCTTACTCCTGTGTCGCTGGAGCTTGGTGGGAATGATCCAATGATTGTCCTCGCCGATGCCTCTATTGAGCGGGCTGTGAACTGCGCTTTGTGGGCTGGATTTCAAAATGCGGGGCAGGCTTGTGCGAGTGTGGAACGCATTTATGTTCATGAATCCATACATGACGAGTTTCTTTCAGAGTTGGCCGCTAAGACAAGGGCGTTGCGGCATGGTCCTGATATAAACTTTAATGTTGACATTGGCGCCGTGACCACTGAAGTACAGCTTCGGACAATTAAGGAACATGTGGAGGATGCCATTTCCCGTGGGGCACGTATAGTGGCACAGAGTACGCCCACGGGTGATGTTTCCAGTGGAAATTTTTACCCTGCCACGGTGTTAACAGGGGTGACGGCCGACATGCTGGTGATGCGGGAGGAGACGTTTGGCCCTGTTTTACCGGTAGTACCATTTTCAACTGAGGAGGAGGCAATTGCCATGGCGAATGACTGCAGATTTGCGCTGACGAGTAGTGTGTTTTCCAGAAATCGCGCCAACGCTTGGCGGGTGGCGGAGAAGCTTGAGAGTGGTGTGGTGAGCATTAACGACCATCTTTACGAACACGGCATGAGCGAGGTTCCATGGGGTGGGTGGAAGAATAGTGGCATTGGCCGCACCCATGGTGAATTGGGACTAAAAGAGATGTGCCATGTACGCTGCATCAACGATGACTGTCTTCCTAGTGGTTTTATCCACCGGGATCTTTGGTGGTTTCCTCAGAGTCATGAGCTTTATGATACACTGCTGCATGCTGTCTCTGTTGCGGCTCCACGTGGGGTCACACATGCGATGGTGAATTTTTTCTCACTTATGAAGCGGGCAGGGATGATTTTTCGACCCTGGCGCCCTCAAATCGCCACTTGTGAGTCGGCATTGAGGAGCGCTGCCAAAAAAGAGACCAAAAGTAAGACTTTGTAGATAAATAATAGCCACCCAGCATGAACGTTGGACAGACTCTAAAAAGCCGCTGTTTTTTTTTTTTTTTTTATTGTTGTCGGTGTTGTTGTTCTTGTTGTTTGAGTCTCGTTTATTTTGTTCCTGACGACGGACGCGGTACATATGCACCGTGGGTATTACTGGATTCTGTAGGAGTGGCATCGTCTATTTTTGGTTTCAAATGTTTATATGAAGTTAAAACAAACAAACAAACAAAAAAAAAAAATTTTTTTTTTTTTTTTTCAGGAAAAGGAAGGAAGGAAGAAGGGGAAAAGAAAAGCCCAGGGTGGGTGGTGGGTTTCTATTTGTCTATTTACAGCCATGGATATATATATATATATATGTCTGTGTTTGTATGTGCACATGAATAGTTGGACAGTGTGACATGAAATTCTATTGCGTGATATTTGTTGCATCTGCCCTTCCCCCCTTCTCCTTTTATTCTTTTTTTTTGTGTGTGCTTTATTCATTTATTTGAATTCTACGGAGTGGTTGTGGCGTTAATTATACGAGAACACACACGCACACACACACAAAAGAAGAAAAAAAAATGGAGGTAGCTTTCACCGTCTCACCTGACGAGCGGCAGCATGTGGAGTATTTGGCCGACCTATTTGCTGTCATTGTCGCCATTGAGAAGGTGGAGAAGGCGATGCTGCGTGACCTTATTACTCAGGAGCAGTACGATACGACCATTCGCCGCCTGCTGGAGAAGTATAAATCCAGTGTGTCGTATCTTGAGCAGGGCCGGAACCCGTACTACACCACCATTGACTCCTTTTGGGAAAATTACGGTTCTAAGTGCCCTGCCGCGCGGGCCCGCATTCAACTTGGCCTCGCAAATGATCATCAACAGAAGGACGGGCACACGAACACCACACTTGTGCTGGAGTGTGGTCAGTACTTTATTACACTCATGGACTCCCTCAAATTGCAGCAGACTGCAGTGGACCAGTTGTATACACTTCTAACTGATCTAGTTCAGGGACTGAGGCGATTGGGGGCGTCTGATCAGGAATTTCACCAGCGTCTTGTGGCGTGGAAGGAGAAGTTGGACACCATGAAGGCATCCGATGAGTTAAACGAGAGAGACACGCGGGAGTTTGCATTTGTGCTGGAATGCGGCTATCAGGCTTTTTATGCCTATCTCAGTGACACCAGTAGAACAAGTTCAGGGTCAATGAAATACTAGCAAGAGAATAACTGAGCCTGTCAGGGAGTCAGTGTACACGTTTCTTAATTCATGCACTCTCTCAGAGTATTTTTTATTGGTTAAAAATATATATTATTATTATTACTATTATTTTTTTTTGTGGCCTTGTTGTTTCTTTGTGTTATTATTCATTGTTGTTGTTGTTGTTTTCTCATGATGATTATAACATTGTCAGTCAATACCCGTTTTTTTTGTTTGTATTTATGTGTGTGGGTGGGTGAGGGTGCGAGGCATCAAAGGGACGGAAGTAAAGCTTCCATGACGAGGTATGTTCCGCCACACCGCAAGCGGGAGGTAAGTGACGTCGATGATGGCAAATCCACAGGGAATGACGGAGGAAAGACGACTTCAGAGGCGTTACAGCGTGAGTCATGGCAGGCTCTAAGTCGTAGTATTACCGGCATTATCAATCGTGTGAGTGGTGAAAATGTTCAATTATCCGCCACCGAGTTGTTTCGTGAGAACATTATTCGCGGCCGGGGTCTGCTCTGCCGCAGTCTCATGCGGGCACAGTTGGCGGATCCAGACCTCTCGGACGTCTTCGCTTCTCTTGTGAGTCGTGTTAACAAGGAGTTTTCTATAATTGGTCTTCTTCTTGTTAAGCGGCTTGTAGTGCAGTGGTGGAGGCTGCATCGCCGCGGAGATTGGACGGCGCTGCGCTGCGTGAGCCGCTTTCTCGCATGGCTTTACATCTTCAATGTTGTGAGTGTGGATGTCATCTACCAAATTATTCTTGCCCACCTTACCGCGGAGAAGCGCTGCGACGACGATGTGGACCAGGCGGCGGCTCTTTTTCGCGATACCTTCCGTGCAATGTCACAGCGTGACGTGGCGGAGTTCCATGCCCATGTGCTGACGCCTATTCGTGATCTTCTCGCGATGGACGACGATGCGCTTCGCCTTTCTCCCCGTGCGCAGACATTGCTGGAGACCTGCCTGGGCGAGGTTCAGAAGTGGGAGCGGGTGAAACACACGGTGTCCATCATCCCACCCCAATTGCTTCTGGTGGAGGCCTGTGAGCAGAAGTGTCACGAGGTGGACCTCGACGATGCGGCGAAGATGAACGCGGAGGAGCAGCTGGACCGTTTTGTATTTGATGCGGATTATGACGCACATGAAGACGCATATGAGACGGCTCGATGTGCGGTTTTGGGAGATGACTGGGAAACCGAGCTTTTGGAGCAGGTGGCGGCGGCAGAAGAAGAGGAAGAAGAGGAAGAAGAAGGAGAAGGGACGATAGCAAGAGAGGAGGAGGCACGAGGTCAGGAGCGGTCCGCACAAGAAAAACAGTCCTCCATGGATGCCGCCAAACAAGTTGTCGATGAACGAGAACGTCAAATTCGCAAGGATGTATACATGGCGATGCGCAGTAGTGTCCGGGCGGATGAGGTGGTTCACAAGATTCTGAAGTCAATGCCTTCACAGACAGAGCGCACCGTGTGTTTTATGGTTATTGAAGGTTGTTGCGAGGAGTCTATATATAAGCGAATCTACGGCATGGTGGCCGAGCGGCTTTGTAAAAGCAATACGAAATTTCAGTTGTTTTTTGCAGAAGCCTTTCGGACACGCTATGAACATGCAGAAGATCTTGTGGAAAAACAAATTGAGTACACATGTAAAATTTATAGTCATCTTTTACGCACCGATTCATTGCCGTGGCACAGATGCCTTTCTGTACTTGACATTATTGAAAGTGACATGTCGCAGCGATTGATGATTCAATGGCTGCTGCAGGGGATGGTGGAGGCACTTGGGATGCGTGCGGTACAGGAGCGCCTTGAGAAGGACAAGGAGTTACGGTCAAGTACTGTAAAACTGTTCCCTGTGGACGCCAATGAAGAGGGGCTGGAACGGGCGGTTAATTTATTTGAGGCGATGGGACTTGGCGAGTTGGGCGCCGGCGTGCGGGCGCAGTTGGAGAAGGTGCGACGCTCGAGACGAATGACGTTGAACACGAATTTCGCCCCAAATTACAATGATCGGGTTTCGGGTGGCGATGCGAACCACCAGAAGGGCCAAAAACGGTCACGGGAGAACATGATGGAGTACATTTAGAAACAACAGAGCACGTCTATAGAGAAGGAGGGAGATGGAGAGAAGGTTTGAGGCAATGACAGCGGGGACGGAAGGTATTGAAGCCGAGTGGTGCCTCGGACTATTTTCTATTTTTTATTTCTTTATTTGTCTTGCAAAGGGTGAAGTGAGTGAATGGACGCAGCGAGGGAATGAACACGTATGAATGTGCAAAGCTTAAAAAAAAAAAAAAAAAACTTTTTTTCCCTCTTTTTTATTTTTATTTTTCTGTTCTCTCTCTCTCTCTCTCTCTCTTCTCTTTCACTGTGAGGAAGGGGTTGTTTCTTGGCTTTTTCAACCTCTCCAATGGATGCTTCTTCTTATCTCTTATCTCATGTGCAATGAAAATGTCGGGTGTGTCTTTTGTACCGTTGACGTCTGCATGGATGCGCACTCAGCCCATTCCACGCACTTTTATTTATTCCTACCAACGCCACGGAGGCGAACGAAGGGAACGGAGAAATATAAAAATATAAATAAATATAAATATATTATTATTATTATTATAAAGGAAGAGGTGGAAGTAATAAATAAAAATAAAAAGAACAACAACATCAACAATAAAATCGCAACAACACACATGGAGGAGCAAAACCGTAAGCCTACCAAGGCCAAAGTCTTTGTGCGTGTGCGTCCATTTACGGAGGCGGAGGCGCAGGTTTGTCCGGAGGATAGTCCTGTTCCGCGTGAAGTTGTTGTGTGGGACAAGCACCGCATTTTGACTGTTCTTGACGCCGCCAATGGCTTTTCCCCGCGGAAAAACGGCCAGTTTGACATCGACAATGTTTTGTGGTCATTTCGTGACGAGGAACGGCCAAAGATGGTGCTGCACACGCAGAAGGACGTTTACAGCGCTGTGGTCGCCCCCATGCTTCCACAGATTGTCGACGGTTACAACGCAGCATTTTGCATCGCCGGTGCTTCCGGAAGCGGTCGGATCTATTCGCTTTACGGCGATGACGTGGACGGCGTAAATCGTGGTGTCCTTCCACGATTTGCGGAGAATATTTTCCACGTCTTTAAGCGAGAAAAACGGGAGGACAGCTCACTCACATGCGAGATGGAGGCAATTGACGTCTTGCCCAATGAAACATACATGGACCTGCTTGCGCAGCGGCGGAAATCTCCTGCAAATGCTGCAGAGGAGCCGAAGCTTACGAACGATGCCACGGAAGGAATGAAGCTGCAGGGCGCCACACGGATTTCTGTGGGAAAAGCAGCGGATGCCCTCAGCGTTCTGCGACAGCTCGCACGTGTAGTGCCGAAGCGCAGCAGCTGCCACACCGTTCAGTTCCGATTTGTCGAAACCTTTGACTTTGCTGACCCAGAGCAACAAGACCAGGTGATATCAAAGTCCCGCCGCATCAACGTCCTTTTTGTGCTGTTACGCAACATGCCAGCCGCCTTCCAGCGGTGCATCGATGTGGCGGTTGAACACGACAGTGGGGAAAATCCTTTGGCGAAGGTTCCAACCCGCGAAACGGCCTTCACGAAACTTTTTCCGGAACTTCTTCAGCAAGGATACAACCTCTCCTTCCTTTGCTGCGTCAGCCCTTTCTATGAGCACACACGCGAGACGGTCCAGACCTTGACCCTGGCGACGAAGTTTATGAAGTTGAAGTGCAAGCCGAGATTGATACAGGACGAGGCGCTCATGGAGCTTCGGAACCTCTCCGATGAGGTGAAGAACCTTAGAACGGAAGTAGTGAAGCAGACGGAGTCGGCGCAGATTGTGCAGCATGAGCTCAATGCACGTGAATTGGAGCTTATGCGGCAGGAAGCTGCCCACCATGAAGCGGAGGTGAAGCTGCGTCGGACGGAGCGAGAGCTTGCGTTGGCGAAACATGCCCTTGCGATAAACCAGTTCCGCACGAGAGGGCACAGGAAGCAGTTTGCAAAGGAACGCGTTAGCAAGGAGAAACTTTTGGGTGCAACAAAGGCGGAGAAGGATGAGACAGATAAGTCCCTGGAGGCAGCAAAGAAACAAAACGAGCAGCTTGAGTCGGGAAAGAACGAGTGGGAGAAGAAACTGCGGGCGCAGGAGGAGAAGAATGCGGCATTTCAGGCCCGCCTTCTTGCCGATGAGGAAAAAGAGAAGAGGATTGGGAAGATGCGGAAGTTTCTCGCTGCCTCGCCGGAGGAACGCAGCCGCATCCTTGAGGAAGAGGCGAGAGAACAGGCCCGGAATGATGTGAATGCGCAAAAGGCGGAGAAGGAGCTGAAGTTTTTGCAAGGGGCGCAAGAGAAAGCCGATGGCCGCTGTCGCGTGCTGGAGAAGGACTACGCCGCCGTCTACGCCGCCGAAAAGGGAACGCGGGAGAAGGCGGAATTGCAGAATAACATTGCACAGCTGAAGAAGGAGATTGCGGAAGCGGAGGCGGCAATTGCGCGCATGAAGGCGGAGCTTGACAAGCGACCCCCCGGCTGTAATTGTGTTCTTATGTAGACAACACCAACACTTCCAAAGGTGGAAACGCGCAGGAAAAAAAAAAAAAAGAGGGTGCAAGAAGGAAGTTTCATTAGTGATTTGATGGAAGTGCTTGTGAATATGCATTTACGTCTGTATACTTTTTTTTTTTTTTTGTAGAGTTAAGAAGAATTTATGCTTCTTATTTTTTGTTTACTTATCTTGAAATAGACATATATGCTACACCCTCTTGGTTTCTTTTTTTTTTTTTTTTGTAGTGCATGTCGCTCTCTGGGTGGCGAGGACACGAAACCGAGCATGCACGCACACACACACACAAAAAAAAAAACAAAAAAAACAGGAAAAATGGTAAAGGCGTAATTGCATGTGTGTGTACGACACTGGTGAAAAGAGAGGCTTGTAGAAGGCGGTAAATACAATGGGACATGACTGATATATTTATTTTTATTTTTATATAGATATATATATATATGATTTTCCTTTTTGAGTTGTGTTGTTGTCGACTTGTGGGGTAGAAGGAGGAATCTAACGCTACATATGAGGGAGAGAGAGGGGAAGTTTTGGTGGCGTTTGCTTTTTGCTTGTGTAGCTGAAAAGTCCTTTCGTCCGTTGTCTTTTTTTCCCGTGTTTTTCCATCCTTCAGTTTTATATAAACAGAGAGAACTTTTGTCTGAGGAATGGATGGAAGTTTGTAAAACGGGGGGGGCGGGGAGGGGCGTGAGACGGCATTTGGACTCAATTATGAGGAATTTTTGCATGCGTTTGCGGGGCTTTTTGGCTGCAAGTTTGGTGCTACCTTTTTTTGTTTCCTTTTTTTTTTTATATATATATTGGCGGACATGGGCGGTGCAGGGTGACGTTGATTTGTTGATAGAAGTGCTAGTCAAAGAAGTAGGATAAATATAAATATATTTTTTTCTCTCTTTTTTTTTTTTTTTGCACACAGTCAGACGGGGCCGTGGGATAAGAGTTGAGGAGGCGGCATAAATTACCTGAGAAACAAGGAAAAAAGAAAGTGATTTTATATTATCTGCGTTCGTTGCTTTTGTCACGCCGGACGGATAAACGGGGCGGAAGAAGCAGAAGAAACACACACACACACACGGAAAGAAACGGAAACGAAAAGAAAAAGTTATGGTGGTTCTTTCCTTTTTAGAAAATGTCAAGGATGCGGCGTCCCGCTTGATACCGACACCGTACATGGATATTGTGGTGGAGGCCACGAAGCCAGAGTTACCAACGCCGCAATATGAGTCTGTTGCCTTTCTGTGCGACAGCGCGAACTCCTCGGGGGATGCCGCGGAGGATGTTGTGCGGGCTGTGCGGCGGCGCATCACAGACAGTGACGCCAAGGTTCAGCTTCTGACAGTACTCGTCCTTGGCACATTAATAAAGAACTGCGACAATGCGTTGCATGTGGAGGTGGCCTCGCAGAAGGGTTTGCTGCGGGATCTGCAGAACGTCGCCACACGAACGCCGTGCGTTACGGAAAAGGAGCGCATGGCAAAGGAGGCCGCGTTGGCACTCATTTTGAATCTTTCCATATGGTTCACCGGCCATCCAGATGGGCGGCTGTACATCTTGACGACAATCAGCGATGATGTGCGGCATGCAATTGGCCCAAATGCATTTGAAGGAATTCAGCATGACACCACGCAACTAAATTCTTCGGTAATGCGCCAGCAGCAACATAATCCCCGTTTTAACAGACAGTCGAGGCAAACCGGACGACAGCAGCATCAGCAGCAGCAGAGGCAACAAGGGCTTGTTGTAGATGCCGTGGGGATCAATTTCCCAACGGAGGAGGATCTTGCCGCCATGCTGGATTGCTGCATGACCCTGGCGGAGTATTTGAATAACGCAAAGGTTCAACCAGATGGCTCTATTAAACCCGATGATGTTATTTCTGGTTTTCGTGATAAAATCCTGGCTGACCACAAGAGAGTGACGGTGCTTCTCAGCTCCGACCTTAAACTTAACAACCGTGACACCCTCCGTGATGTATTCGATAGCCAAAGTGCCCTCATCCAGCGACTACAGAGCGATGTAAAGTTACATCCAGACCAAACTCCCGCACCGAGCCAAGTCACAGATGTTGCTCCGACAGAGAGGTACCTTCCTCAGGTGACGACCCCGAACCCTCCGGCTGCAGCTGCAGCTTCTTCAGGGGGTCAAGGGGTCGGAATGACGCCGGCCATGAATCCACCCATGTCCCAAGTGGAGCCTGTTGCGGTTCCCACGGCATTAGAAGCAGGAACACGAGAGGCCTCAGGCGAGGCGGAAGGGTCCCAGCCGTGTCCCGCGCAAGAGGCATCAAAGGTCATGGAAAACCTTTTTGTCTCTGCGCCTGTTACGGAATCTCTTGCACCTGCCGCGGAAACTTCTTCACGCGAATATGATGACAATGTGGATTTGTTGTTAACGAGGGCGGATATGCCCCCCCCTGAGCCAATTCCAAGTGTTCCAGAGAAGAAGGAAGAGGTACTGATGGCAGGAAAAGAGGAGAATCAATCAAAACAGGAAGAAACACAGAAGCAGCCGGATCCTCATGAGAAGTCTCCAGAAGAGAAGAGTAAGCAACCCGCTGGCGAAGATGATGAGTTTGATGCCTTTTTGGAGGGGCGTTTGTCTAAATAGCGGCAGCCGACACGCCGCCGCGATTAAAAAAAAAAAAAAAAGAAAGTGGGGGAAAAAAAGAAAATATAGAGAGGGCTTTTGGAAGCACTTCAATGCGACAAGTATCATTTTAATCTCTCCGAGAGTATAAATTATTATTTTTTGTTTTTTGTTTTTTACTGTTAATTTGCAATGTTGTGGTGTTGTTTGGGCGTTTTTTTTTTTTTTTTTTTTAGGGGGGAGGAAGGGAGGTTCCTTCTCGAACAGCCCGGAGAAACAGGAGGGACGAGTAGGAAATCCCTTCCAGAGAAGAAAAGGATGAGGGTTCAGAGGCAGAAGAAAAGGACTGAGAAGTCTTTTTGTGTGTGTGTGTGTGCGTGTACGTATTTGTATTCCCTGCCTGTTTCTCTCTCTGTGAGGGAGGAAGAGAAGGGGAGGATGAGAGCGGCGGAGGCGGAGTGCGGGTGCAATTACGAGTGAGTGCCTGAAAAATGCCTTTTTTTTTGTATAAAAACCATCGGTAATTTTTTTGAGAAATGTGTCCGTCACGTATGGGCTCCGTCATAGTTTTGTTTTTCCTCAGTTCTTTTCTAGAGTTATCGATGCATATACACCGTGCACTCTTTTCTTTCATTGATTTTTGCCAGACACCTGAGGCTTGACACACGAGAAGAGCGGGGCCTTTCTGTGAGAAAAAGGAAAGAAGGGAGCGATGGCACCTAATCAATTTGTGGAACTGGTGGATACCGTGGAGAAGTACGCCACTAGAGGATCAAATGAGTGTGGCTGCCGCATTGACACCAGGGAGGAGTCTATCCCGTCCAACACGCTGGTTGGCTACCCGTTTGCCAATGCAGAGGGTGTGGGAGTACATCTCTCATATAGGAAAGGAGACATTACCCTTTCGGCCGATGTGAGCTCAAACCCGAAGGCGACATGGCGGGACGTTCTTCCTACTTTTTCATGGACACGGTCTCTGCGGGGCCAGCAGCACGAAGTTCTGCTGCGGCTGGCAATGACGCCCCTTTTTGCCTACTCCTTTTCTCACCCTCAATTTACATGCTCATCCGAGGTGAATTTTATGGATGGATTCCGATCCAAATTTACCACCTCCACGCAGCTTTCCATGCGGAATCAATTGGGGGCATGCGTGGAGTATGACCCAAGCCGCAGTGGCGTGATAGATTACACGGTTGCCTTTTTACGCGCTGGTTGCTCGGCAGTGCTGGGAGGTGATTTTGTCGTTCAATATAACGCTACCCGTGGGCTGGGAGTCCATACCCGCATCCCAGTGAAACCTTTTATGGGCGCTGTGGCACTGGTGGAAAGGGGTCGCGTTATTATCGGTACAGAGGCCCGCTCTCCGTGCGGCGCACAGATGATGATGAATTTAGACCTTGTGAATTCACGCGTCATGCTGGCTGTTGTTCGCAATATCAGCACAGTATGGAAGTTTACCTTCAATTACTCCGCACCGCTGCCAGGGACCTCTTCTGCGGCGAGGCGATTTGGACTTGTCTTTACCAGTCAGGATGCCCCGTAGTGCAGTACGGGAAGGAAAGGGGCAAGTGGAGAGGACTCCTTCCATGAGAGAGGCATTGGAGGGGTGTTGTGAAGAAAGGAAAGGAATGATGAAAGTTAAACAAAAAAAAAAAAGAGTCTGCTGAAGTGGGAAAGGGATGGATAAAAATGCGATATTGAAGAATCAAAGAAGAAATGACAGTATAATAATTGGCATGTATGTGTGTGTGTGTGTGTG